AAATTGCATAACATGTAATATAGCGTGCGAGAGTATAAGTATATTTCGTTATAAGATGTTGTTATACATATTACCAGATACAGTATCAGATAGCGCGGTAATGCATATATGAGAATTCAATGTAATATGCGGTAGGGTGCTATGATCGAATACGGCATGGAGTATGACAGCATGATATGATACATAATGCTATACACTGACTTGAAACATGTGATATAGTCTGCGATTCTATGGAGCAAAATACTACGTCACAGCCTCGCACAATAATATTACATACTAAAACATGAATGGTAGACTATGCGCTGCTATGGCATACGATTGCATACCATACTATGTCTGTGAAAACAAAGGTGGTATGACCGAGTACGATGAGAGGATATCCAACGAGATGTAGTACGACATGGCGGAATACAATGAATTGTAACATATGAGTAGATGCACAAGTCTTAGATCATACCAACAGCAGATGTTTTAACACATGGTCATGTGAGGTATTACAGTGTATGCGTTGTGGAAATATGCTTCCTTACATTATGAAATAATGTGACAATATATATATATATGTATATTTATATACATACGTATATATATATGTGAACTTGAAACGATATCACGCAATAGAAAATAACCTAGAATGGTATGGTCTATTATGGTGTAGCTACAATAGGTTGCCAAATGATATACTACGCTATGAAATAGTCTGGTAAAACAGAACCTGATACAAACGACTAGCGTAGAATGCACTGCAACCTCATACCATATAATGCCATTCGTAAGATTTACATATAGACAAAAGAAATGTAGGACATCGAATGCTATATATCATGATAAGGCAGGATATGGTACGAAAGGATAAGATGGGCTATATTGACATACCACAAGATGCGTATATGTATAACACATGCCGTCGTTTCCGGGGCCCGCTGGGGACGGGCACGCCCGCCAGACGCCTGCGTGCTGGCCCTAGCGCGCTGCCTGGAGGGGCCCGGGGCCTGGCCGCAGAGCCGGGCACGGCTCGACCAAACTGCGGCCAGGCTCGCCGACGCTCGGGCGTCCATGCCCCGTGCAGTTTTCGATTTCGCACGTGTATTTTTTCAGTGATAATTTTCCCCCTTCTCCTCCTCCTCCTCGTCCTCCTCCTCCTCCTCCTCCCTCCTCCTCCTCCTCCTCCTCTTTCCTTCTACCCCTCCTCCTCCTCCTCCTCCTCGTCCTCCTCCTCCTCCTCCTCTAGTCGTACCCCTCCTCCGCGATCCTCCTCCCTCCTCCTCCTCCTCCTCCTCCTCCTCGTCTCCTCCTCTTCCTCCACCTCTCCTCCCTCCTCCTCCTCCTCCCTCCTCCTCTCCTCCTCCTCCTCCTCCTCCTCCTCCACCTCCCTCCCTCCTCCTCCTCATACACCTTCTCCGCCCTCCTCCTCCTCCTCCTCCTCCTCCTCCTCCTCCTCCTCCTCCTTGGGCCTGGCCCATCATTCCCGCGGCCCTTCCCCCACAGGCCTCCCCCGCTGCCACCGCCGCCCTTCCCACCCACGGGGCTCGCATCGCGGCCCGCCATAACAATCGGAGGGGAGGCCTAAAGGCCAACGCCGCGAAACAAACAGTAGGAGCTCGACCACAAGAAACCGTCCACAAGAAACCCAACCCTCAGACCCCAGGACGTGCGCTGACGTCTGGTGTGGGGAGCATCACGCTCCCATCGCAAAAAGCAATCGGGAGACGCAAGAAACCCAGGGCACCCTGGAGGCAAGCAGGGCGCTTCCTGGCGTGGGCTTCCGCCGTCTGCTGCTCCTCGATGGCCCCCGCCGTGAACACACGAGCGCGCCCGAGCGATGCCGAGCAGAGCGGCACCCCCAGGTTCGGAGAGCTCCGGACGGCAGTGCCGCGGGCGCCCGCCTCGAGGGCCGCCTCGGCGCGGCTGGATGCCATTGGGCTCTATGTGGCGCCGTCGGGCGCTATACGCCGATGCGCGTTCAGATCAAAGCGCACGGAGACTCCCGCGTTCTACAATCTAGCTCATCGGTCGGCCACACGCAAGAATGGCCCTGGGCAAGAGTGACCGTCGGTGCGCGGCGTGAGGTGGGCGCAAAAGGGAGGGCCAAATCTAACCGCACAAGCCGTGGCCATCGCATCGCATTCAGCGATCAGGGGGCCCCAGTGGGCCAGCACCAAAGGTCGCTCCTGAGTATCGTTTGACCGCTCCCCATCCCCAGCGGCGTGGCCTGGGCCCCACTGGCCGATCTGCCCCCCCTAGATGGGGATGCAGGTCGTTCCCTTCGGGTTTCGAGGGGTGTATCCCCAACTGAGGGCACAATCTGGTGGTCCAGGGGTACATCCCTAACTGGGGGCACAATCTGGTGGGGGTGTCGAAGGGGATGGGGATGGGGATGGGGGTCGGTCAGACGATACTGAACTAACGGCGAGGGGTCACTTCTACGGGTAGTCGAGGCTGCTCGGAATCCAGCCGGGAGGCCCGGGTTCGACCTGCCTCCGACCAGAGGCCGTCGGGCCCCCCCCCCCCCACCTTGTGTTGCCTCCTCGGGGGGACCCTGCCCGTCTCATCGCCGCGTCGAATCCGCGTCGAGTCCGCGCCGAGTCCGCGTCGGACCCGTGCCGAATCCGTGCCGGATCCGCGCCGAGTCCGCGCCGAATCCGCGTCGAGTCCGCATCGGGCCCGCGCCGGGCACAGGAAGCAAGGCACGGCTACACGCATGAGTGACCCTGGGTAAGAGTGACCTTTTGTGCGCGCTCTTTTGGGGGGCGCGAGGGAGCCAAACCCGAGCGCAGAGGCCGCTGCTGTCGCATCGCGATCAGTCACATATGGGAACCCCAGTGTGCCCGCATCCAAGGTCACTCCGGCGAAAGGTCACTCTTGCGTGCATCGGGAGCGGCCAAGAGGGGGGTGTCCAAGAGGGGGGGGGTGCAAATCATGGCCGGCGGCATGTGCGCGGCCCAAGGGGGGGGGCCAGGGACGTAATGAAACAAATGAAACAATAAGAGGCGCCATGAAATCTGGGGAAAAACCATGGCCCGCGCCATGATACCCCCCCCCCCCTAGTCATCGCCCTCCTCTTTGTCGCCCCCGAGTGCCTTCCCAACCCAACCCGAAGACCCGAATTTCGGGTTGGGGGGGGGTACGGGTTCCATATGTGTTTTCTCGATGTCCCCGACCCCCTCCACTGGAAATGGAGGTCAAATTGAGGCCTGCGGGTTGGGTTGGGGTGGTCTGGTGAGTGGTGAACTCCTACGTGCAGTCGAAAGACTAGGGACTAGGGGGCAAACAAACCTACCTCGCTTTTGACCACCCTCGCTTCCAAGAGATACCAAGCGATGCCAAACTACGGCATGTGCTGGTCAGGCCGCCTGACGAGGAGGCGCGTGGTATGACTTGGTTCTGCCTGGAAGCGAAAGCGGGGGAGGTAATTCACGCTCTGGAAGACACCCCCTCTGGGAGGGGGGGTGGCCGGGCGCGGGCCCCTCCCCCGAAGGCGCCGCGCAGCCACCGCGGAGCTCCCCCGGGGGCCTCCCGCCGACGGCGAGGCCCTCCTGGGAGCCGGCCGCGTGCCACGCCCAGACTGCCAGACCTGTTCCTGCTCCTCCTCCTCCTCCCCCTCCTCCTCCTCCTTCCCCTCCTCCTGCTCCTCCTCCCCCTCCTCCTCCCCTCCCCCTCCCCCCCCCTTCCTCCCCCTCCTCCTCCTCCTCCTCCTCCTCCTCCTCCTCCTCCTCCTCCCCCCTCCTCCTCCTCCTCCCCCTCCTCCTCCTCCTCCTCCTCCTCCTCCTCCTCCTCCTCCTCTCCTCCTCCTCCTCCTCCTCCTCCTCCTCCTCCTCCTCCCCCTCCTCCCCATCCTCCTGCTCCTCCTCCTCCTCCTGCTCCTCCTCCTCCTGCCCAGCGTGCCGGCCCCGCGACCTGCCAGACCAGCCCTAGCCTAAACCCGAAGACCCAAACGTCGGTTTGCTACGCTACGCTGCGCTAAGCCATGCGCCTAAACGCGTGGGTACACTTCGCTGAGCCATACGCTACGCTACGCTACGCTAAGCCATACGCTACGCTACGCTACCCAAACGTCGTTTTTTTTGGGGGGGGGTAATTGCCCCTCGGCCGGAAGAAGCAGGCAAAACCACAGAGTAGGAAGGCGGATGAAGGAGATTCGGTTCGGGCCCGCCCAGAGAGTAACAGCACGCAGCAAAAGCAGATCGATTCCTGAGGCAGGGAGGCGCTTGAAGTAGAGTGGGATCTGGGAATCCAAAAAAAACTACTTTCAACGACCGATGCGTACAGGTTCCACATTTGATGTTTTATGTTATGTTCCCCGGTGCCCCCTCCCCCACTGGGAATGGAGGGCAAAGTGGGGCCTTCTGGTTGGGTTGGGGTGGCTTGGAGGGTGATGACAGATGGGGTCAGAGCAGATGGGGGCCGAGGATCGCGCCGAATCGCCACTGCATTGCCAGCGCATCGCCGCTGCGTCGGCGATGCATCGGCGACGTTGGCAATACATCGGCGCCATCGGCGTAGGGAAAATCGGGCTCCACATCGAGCCGCATCGCCGATGCATCGGCGTTGCGGCGCGATCCTCCGACCCCATCTGCCCCGACCCCATCGAAGCCTAGAATGCCTGGGCCCTGCTTCATGGGGCTGCGCAGACGCGGCCAAGGACAACTTCTAGTGTAGAACTTTCCGTATGGCTCCAAGGGCGTCAGGTGAAGAACCTACATTCCACATATCTATATATACATATATACATATTTATGTATTAGTATAGATGTGTAAATGTGTACATACCTGTATGTATACTACCACATATTTATATGTGTGTATATGTACACGCTGTGTATGGGCCGCCGTTTACCACCAGGTGGTGGCCCAACAGAACACGGCGTCGATCGTAGACCTGCCCCTGGCACCGACAGCGCACGTCGAGGGTGCGGGGCTCTCCGGGAGAGCCGCCTGCGCGCCGCCCCCAGCTCGCTCTCCCGCCCGCCCAGAGATCGGCGAAGAGACCCGCGGCGCACCCCGCAGCTGTCCGCCGGGTAGCCGTTCTCGTGGATCTTCAGGAAGCCGACCTGCCACGGCTCGGGGGCCCCCCAAATCAGATCGGGCGTGTCCTCCTGCAGGCGGATCTTGGACGACAGACGTTTGAAAGCCGTGGAGCGTAGACACAAAGATAGCGAAACACACAAATAACAGGCACGTCGTCCCCAAACCATTGTTTGACCATGTCTGAATGTTCCTCCTGTAGGGGGACGTGCCAAACTTCACCCAACAGAAACCGCGTGGCGACGGACCGCGTGGCGACCTCGAAACTCCCAACGGACCTCACCACGCGGTCCGTCGCCGCACGGTCTTGGGACCTCGGAGGCCCTGGTCGCCCGACGCGTCCTCGGAGAACGGCCCCGAGCCCCAACAGCGTGCGGCCACCCCGAACCCCGCCCCACCAACGCACCACACGGTGAGGTCACCACACCGCGTGGAAGAAGAAGGATGAGGAGGAGGAGGAGGAGGAGGAGGAACAGGAGGAGGAGGAGGAGGAGAAGGAGGAAGAGAAGAAGGAGGAGGAGGAGGAGGAGGGACCCTCAAAATTGGCCGAGGACTGTGGCCGCGGGAGGCGTCGAAGCCCAGGACCGGGACGAACTCGGACCAGGATAAAAGTAAGGGGCAAACAAACCTACCTCGCTTTTGACCACCCTCGCTTCCAAGAGATACCAAGCGATGCCAAACTACGGCCTGTACTGGTCAGGCCGCCTGACGAGGAGGCGCGTGGTATGACTTGGTTTTGCCTGGAAGCGAAAGCGGGTCAGGTAATTCACGCTCTGAAAAATAGGGGAGCTTTGAGGTCCGGCGGCTGCTGGAGGATGCCTCGAGCGCCGCAGCCGTGGAGAGCGCTCCAGGGCGCCCTGAGGGCGTTCTGGAACGCTCTGGAACGACATATCCCCGTCTAGACAGGCGCGTTCCGCTACTCGCAAAGGAACTGCTCGCAGATGGCCTGGATCCGCCGCGGGGGATCTACGACCCACGCAAGCACGTGTTTTTGTTCTCAGACGTTTGCGAGTAGGCACTTTGCGGGCAGTGGAACGCGCTCGGTGACAGCCCCAGCCCCGCCCCGGGGAACTCCGTCGCTGCTGCTGCCGGCGCCCTCGCGATAACGCGCCCTGCCGGGGAGGAAGGAAGATTGAGGAATACGGATGGAGGCAGGATGCGGGAGGAGGGCGAACACGAGGGAGGTTAGAAAGAGGAGGGAGGACGAGAAGGAGTATCATGCCGCTGCTGTCGCCGCCCTCGCCGAGAGCGCCTGCCCCTCCTCGCCGACAGGCCAGGAAGTGTGAAGTGGAGGTGAGCGCACAGTAAAACAGACAAGAGCATGCCCCGACCTCGGCGCAAGGATGCAGCGCTCGAGCCGCGCGGGGGAGTCGGCTCTCCGCGCGGCGAGCTTTATGTTGCTCCCAGCGTACACGTCGGTCAGAAGAAGTAGGTAAAAACATGAAGCAGGAGGGCGGATTAAGTTGATTGGGTCCAGGCCCCCCCAGGGAATAGCTAAACATAACAAAAGCGTGTCGGCTCTTGAAGTAGGAAGGCGCCTGAAGTAGATTGGGGTCTGGGAACCCACAAATACCTACTTTCAACGACCGGCGTGTACTTCCAGACCACAACCCAGAACTAATGTCGAGCGCCCGCAGAGGTGTCGAAAAAGTGTCGGAGCAGTGTCGAACCAGTGCCGGGCAACGTCGTCCCCCAGGGCCCGACGCGTGAGAACCGTCGCGTGTGGGTGCTTTCCTTCCTGGTGCTCGAAGCTCCTCCTGGTGATCCGGGCCACAGCAGGCTGGAACATCATAGGGCTCGCTGCGCGTGCTGCAAGCCTTCGGAGCTCCGCGCGGCGCTCTTGGCTCGGCGCCGCCCCGTGGCGCGTCGCTGCGCCCCGCCTCCCCGCGCGGCAGCGCCGCGCCACCTGCCCCCGGGTGGGCGCTCCGAGCCTCGGGGGCTCGGCGCGCGGAGCGGCGGTGGTGCCGGCGATGCTGAAGATGATGCTGATGATGTGGCTGTTGGTGGTGATGAGGATGAGGATGACGCTGATGATGCTGAGGGCGATGGTGATGATGATGATAGTGATCATGATGCTGTTGTTGATGATGATGATGATGATGATGATGATGATGATGAGGCTGAGGATGGTGATGATGAAGAGGACGTGGAGAATGATGATGAGGAGGATGATGATGAGGATGACGATGACGATGGGGACGATGATGACGATGATGATGATCACCATCGTGAGGATGATGATGACGATGGTGATGATAATGTGATGGTAGGGTTGTTCATTGTGGTAGTGGTGATGGTGCTAATGATGACAATGATGAGCTTGATTATGGTTATGACGCTGATGAGGATGACCATGATGATGATGATGGGGATGATGAGACCGATGGTTGTGCTGATGGTGATGACGACGTCGAATACTATGATGGTACTGCTGCTGCTGATGATGACTTTATGATAATGATTTTATGATGATGATGATGATGATGATGATGATGATGATGATGACGATAATAATGGTCAGCTATGGGATGTTGGCTTCGCTAGGCGCTCGAGGCGGGGCCACGACGCCGTCGGGATATAAACGATCTCCGCGGGGCGCCCACGTGCAGGCGTGCCTGCTGCACCGTGGATGCGCACCACGGGCAAGACCTGCGCGCCGTGAACCCTCGAGGCAAAGGCGAGGCACAGCGAGGAACAAAACAACGGCACAAACATAAAATTGTTGGAGGTCCGCGCGGACTTCCTGGATCTGCGCCGCGCCCGCCTCCCTGGCGCGCGGAGCGCGCCAGGGAGGCGGACCCGGCAGCGCCCCGCTGAGAGGGTCCCCCGGCGCGGATCCGAGAAATGCGCGCGGAGCACCAAACTAGGGGGCCACAAGCGAACCCTGCCCCTACCCCCCACCATTTTTGAGGGGGAGGGTGGGGTTCACTTCGCTCGTGACCTCCCGAGTGAAGTGAACCCCACCCTCCCCCTCAGAAATCGTGGAGGGTAGGGGTAGGGTTCGCATGTGGCCCCCTACAAACGTTCCTGTTTAGGGCGCTCTCTTCCTCGACAGAGGCGAGGCCATTCGGAGCGCGGCCCGCATCCGGAGCCATAATCCTACAGGCGGATCTCGAAGGGAAAATGGAAACCGGTCCAAACTAATACTCAACAGTGGGCAGGGGTAGTCCGAACAATCGTCCCCAGACTGGTTTGTTGTTAAACTATGTCTGAATATTTTCTCCTGAGGAGGGAAACGCCCGAATCAGATCAATTCATTTGGACGCCCGAAATGGGTACGGCAAGAATGGGCGCAATGCCCAACAGCAAACGTTGTCCCGAATCAACAGCGGCCGCTGTTTGGCAGGCGGCCTTCTGTCTCAAAATGAACAGCGAACTGCTGTTGAGCATTGTACCCATTCTTTCCGTGCCCATCTCCTTCGTGCAGAGTTCAGAGACGAGCGGCTCCGCCCCCTCGAGCGGCGCCGGCGGCCCGCGAGCCGTGGCCGCAGCGCGCCCCCCCGGGCGGGCACCAGGCGCTCCGCCCCCCCGCGGGGCCGGAGGCGCGGCACCAAGGGGAGCAGAGCGGCCGGCGTGCGCGAGGGTCACGAGCGGCACGCGGGCGCGAGCGCACAGGAGGTCCAGGAGCGTCATCCTCGCCTCTCCCCCTCCAGCCCCGTCTTGCTTCCCCCCCCCTTCCCCCTCCCCCCCCCCCTTCCTCCGCCCTCTTGGCTACTGCCTCCTCCCCCGTCCTCCCTCTACTGCGCTCCCCCTCTCTCTCATTCTCCTCCCCCCTCCTATCCGTCGGCGGCCTGCTCGTCGTTTTCCATCTCCAGCGAGGGCGAGAAGGCGCGGGGGCAGAACTTGACGATCACCCTGGGCCAGCAGAACAGGAAGTCCCACCCGGGCAGGGCGGAGGGAGGATCTGAGGGAAGGGGAGGGGAGGAGCAGGGAGAGGGAAGGGATCAGGAACGGAGGCCGGGAGGCGAGAGAAGGCGGAGGGATGGGGAGGGGGGGTACCTCCACGCTCCGCGGGATCTGGCTGACAGGAAAACTGCGACCGCTGCGCGCACTGGAAGCACAGCTGCGCGTGGGGCAGACGGGCGGCGACTGCGCCCCGGGGGGCGTGGGCACACGCTGCCACGGCCGTGCGAGCTGGCAGCCTCACCTCCCAGAGGAGGAGCGAGGCCCCGACTGGGACCGCGCAGGGCCAGCGGCACTCCGTCGGACCCCCCCCCCTTGCCATCGCTCGGACGTACATTTCCTGTGTTTTTGTTCGGTTTAGTGCGTGTTTTTTTCGCGAAATGATCAAGGATGCTCCTGGATGGTCCTCGCCAAAAGAAAAATGCACACGTCCGAGCGATGCCAAGCCCCACGCGGAGCCGGAGCAGGGCGGCAGCGCCGCCCTCGCCGGCCAAGGAGTTCTGCCGCTGTGCTGCTCTGCCACGCAGGCTTCTCGCAGTCCTCTCGGCCTCCGGGAGCCCCTGGCCATCGCTCGGACGTCCATTTCCCGTGCATTTGTCGGTTTCGTGCGTGGCTTTTTCGCCAAATGATCAAGGACGCTCCTCGATGGTCCTCGCCGAAGAAAAAATGCACACGTCCGAGCGATGCCAGGGCCCTGGAAAAGGACTCTTTCTCCGCCTTCGCTCCCCGTTTGGGTCCGTGTGCGTCAACGCTCGGACGACCCGCCCTTTCGGCACGGACCTGCGCGGATAAGCGCTGCGCGCGGACTGTGGAGACCCGAGGGGCGCAGATTCATTGCGAGACCGTGGCCTGGCGGCACCTGGACGAGGCGGGCGCGTGGCGCAGAGACATCCAAGACGGGGGCCCATCTCCTCGGCAGGGCTGAGAGACATGATATGCACCAGGGCTGCAGCTAAGCAGCGTTTGTTGGTTCTCGTTCTGTCTTCGTTCTACCTTTGCTGCGAAACCAAAGCCAAACAAAACCGGTCCACGAAATCGCCCAAACCCCGTTAAACTCGAGCCATGTGGTGCACATCTCGGAAAAATGCTTGAATGGACGTGAACTGCTGGCGCTATCAGTTACGGCGATTGTGAAAATTGGGAGGCGGCCGAGGTGGTCTGAACTGAATATGGGCCTGGCGAGAACTTACCAAAAATCGGCGATGGACAAACCTCCCTTTAGTAAACCTCCCCTTACTGAAAGCGGCCTGGGACCGAAACCGACGGTCCTGGACCCGCAAAAATGATGGCCGCGACGCCCTCTCGCGAACCGAAAACGGCCAATTCCTTAATCGGCGTGTCAGGGTAGGAAATCTGTTCACCCCCGAAAAAAGGGGGACACGGGCAAATCCGGTCAAGAGCGATGCCTGGAGACCTCCCGGGGTCAGCATCGGAATCAGCTTTTCGCCCTGGATCCGTTTCGGACGGCCCCAGGGCCCGAAAACGGCACCCAGAGGCAGAAAAAGAAAAAACAAAAACTCAACGAACCCAAAACCTCGTACCTGCCCGCCCTTGGCGGCGAGCGAGGGGGGGAAATAAGAAGGAGGACAAGGCCTTGTCAGAAGGCGATGGAACTTCTCAGAAGCCCTCGCGCCTTCTGAAAAGTGCTTGTTTGTCTTCGGGGCAGGCTTAGAACATTTCTCAGAAGGCGGGGGTGGTTCCGAGCCTTCTGCGAAGGCCTTGTCCTTCTCACTTCCCCCCATCGATCGCCGCCGACTCACTTCTTGCTGACCAAAGCCATTGCGGGGCCACCGCAGGCCCCCAGCCGGCTCCCAGGAGAAGAGCACGACACATATACGCGCCGACCGAGAGGAGCGGCCGCCAACGGCAGGGCGGGCGGGAGGCCTCTGGGCGAACTCCTCCTCGTTGCCGCTGACGTACTGGCGGGGAGGAAAGGAGGAGGAGGAGGACGAGAGGAGGAGGTGGGAGAGGAGGGAGGAGCAGGAGGTTTTCGAGGATCTCGAGGAGGTGGAGGAGGAGGAGAAGGAGGAGAAGGAGGAGAGGCAGGAGGAAGAGGAGGAGGGGGAAGAGGAGGACGAGAAGGAGGAGGAGGAGGAGGAGGAGGAGGAGGGGGAGGAGGAGGAGGACCTCGAGGAGGAGTAGGAAGAAGAAGAATATGCCGTCCTTTGGACAACCGCCTGGATGGTCTCGAGGACCTCGGGTCCCTGGACGAGCTGGCCGGCGGCGACGGGCGGCGGCATGGGACGATACACCTCAGCGACGGGTCAATGCAGAAAGAGGAGGAGAGGGGAGGTGGATCGAGGAGGCTTCTCCAGGCTCCACGCAAGAGCGGCCCTGAGCAAGAGCGACCTTTCATGCGCGGCCTTGTTGGGGCGAGGGGGGGTCGCTTCACCGGGGCTCGCTTCGCCGGGGTTTGCTTCGCCAGGGTTCGCTTCGCCGAAGCTCGCTTTGCCCAGCTCGCTTCGCCAGTATCGCTTCGCCACGCTCGCTTCGTCCGTGTCGCTTCGCCGGGGCTCGCTTCGATTGGGTCTCGCTTCGCCGGAGTCTCGTTTCACCAGTGGTTGCTTCGCTGGCGTTCGGTATCCGAGGACGGGAAGGAGGCAGAGGAGGAGTAGCAGGAGGAGGAGTAGGATAAGGAAAATGAGGAGGAGCAGGGGGGAAGAGGAGCAGGAGGAGGAGACGAGCGTAGGAAAGCAGGAAGAGGAGGACGAGGAGGAGTGCTCCAAGATCCACCAAACGAGCCCCAGGGAGGCCCCAAGAGGACCCCGAGAGAGCCCCAAGAGGACCACCCCAAGAGGGCCTCAAGAAGATCAGCTCTCATCGGAAGCGTTTCTGAATGGGCTGCTGGGGATACGCGACTCGTGAAGAATTACTCCTCCTCCTCCTCCTCGGTCCACCTCCTCCGCCTCCTTCTACGTTGGCCCGTCGCTGAGGCGTATCCTCCCCTGCTGCCACCCATCGCAGCGTACCAGCTCGCCTGGGGACCCGAGATCCTAGAGCCCATCCTGGAGGTCGTCAAAAGGACGGCAGCATCTTCTTCCTCCTCCTCCTCGTCCTATTCCTCCTCCTCCCTCTCCTCCTCGAGGTCCTCCTCTAGATCCTCCTCCTCTCCTCCTCTTCCTCCTTCTCCTCCTCGAGGTACTCCTCTAGATCCTCTTCCCCTCCTCCTCCTTCCTCGCCCTCCTCCTCCTCCTCCTCCTGCTCCTCCTACTCCTCCTCTTCCTCCTCCTCCTCTTCCTCCTCCTCCTCCTCCTCCTCCTCCTCCTCCTCCTCCTCCTCCTCCTCCTCCTCCCCCTCCTCCTCCTCCCTCCTCCATCCTCCTCCTCCTCCTCTTTCCTCCCTCCTCCCTCCTCCCTCCTCCTCCCTTTTCCCCCTCTCCTCCTCCTCCGTCGTCGTCGTCGTCGTCGTCGTCGTCGTCGTGATCGTCTTCATGCCTTCCTTCCTTTCCTCCTGCGGTCTCTTTCTCTTTCGTCCCTGTTGCCTCTTCTGCTCCCTCCTCCTTCTCCTCTTCCCCCTCCTCGTTCCTCCTCCTCCTCCTCCTGCTCCTCCACCTTCTCCTCCTCCTCCTCACCCTCATCCTCATCCTCATCATCATCCCTTTTCCCTCCTTCCTCCTCCCTCCTCCCTCCTCCCTCCTCTTCCCTTCTCCCCCTCCTCTCCTCCGTCGTCGTCGTCGTCGTCGTCGTCGTCGTCGTCGTCGTCGTCGTCGTCGTCGTCGTCGTCGTCGTGATCGTCTTCATGCCTTCCTTCCTTTCCTCCTGCGGTCTCTTTCTCTTTCGCCCCTGTGGCCTCTTCTGCTGCCTCCTCCTCCTCCTCCTCCTCCTCATCTTCCTCCTCCTCGTTCCTCCTCCTTATGCTATTGCTCCTCTCACTGCTCCTCTGTCCTTCCTCAGCGCCGCCCGCTGTAACACGACACGAGGGGGCACCCTGGGGACACAGGCCCTGAGACCCCGGGGCCCTCCGGCAGGACCTGCGCTGCTCATCGCGAGTACATGGAGGAAGGAAGGAGGAGGAGACGGAGGGGGAAAGGGAGGAGGAGGAGGAGAAGGAGGAGGAGGAGGAGGGGGAGGAGGAAGAAGAAGAGGAGGAGGAGGCGGAGGAGGATGAGGAGGCGGAGGAAGGGGAGGAGAAGGAGGAGGAGGGAAAGGATGATGATGATGATGATGATGATGAGGAGGAGGAGGAGGATGAGGAGGAGGAGGAGGAGAGGAGGAGGAGGAGGAGGAGGAGGAGTGAGGAGGAGGAGGAGGGGAGGAGGAAGGAGAAAAGGAGGAGGAGGATAGGAGGAAGAGGAGGAAGAGGAGAGGAGGAGGAGGAGGGAGGCGGAGAAAAGGGAGGAGAAGGAGGAGGAGGAGGAAGAGGATGATGATGATGAGGAGGAGGATGGGGAGGAGGAGGGGGAGGAGGAGGAAGAGGAGGAGGAGGGGGGGGAGGAGGAGGATGAGGATGATGATGATGATGATGATGAGGAGGAGGAGGAGGAGGAGGAGGAGGAGGAGGAGGAGGAGGACCGGCGCCAGGCCTGGTCGTGCAAGCTAGGGACGGGAACATGGGCCTTTTACGCTTTAAAGCTACACGGGACTTAAGGATTTGCCCGTCCTTGGATGGCGACCAGCCCTTATAGCAGAGATAACACAGTTCTGCTTATATCTGGTCTGCCCGTGCTCCGACGCTTCCAGACAAACATCCTGCAACTTGCAATTCGCAACTTTGCCACTGGACACTTGATAGGCGCCGCACTGGGTACACACCATGGCCCACGGCAACACCCAAACACGGTGACCCCGAAACACAACGACTTCCTCAACGGCAGGCGCAGGGTCCCCAGGAGCCTCCAGAGGCTGCCCGTCCGGTGGCACATGTACACCTTCAAACTCCGCCGCCCCTTGAAGGGCTACATTCACTG